CTGAATAATACAAGGAATTCAGACAGTCACAACAGGGGTTTGAGTAGCAATTTGTTCCATTTCAGCATTGCTGAAAACCGCGAGCAAAACCGTACCAATGCACTACCTATTTTCAATTCCCGCCCATTCCTTATACGGTAACAGCATAGCTACTATTAGCATATCACCTTGTAGCACAGGACCGTAGCTTTCATTTGATATACAACAAGGGCCTGTTCTATGCAAATGTGGCGGACGTAGCGATCGTTAAAGCTAAAATATGGAAACATTGGTACGGTTTTGCTCGCCAGTGTATATCGTTACTAACCTTGACTATTTGAGTAGCATTCACTAGTATCTAAAGAATAAGCAATGTAAGTGTAAGTATATCGTGTTTAATACTTTTATATTCTTACTTGGATCTATTCTTTGTCTTTTTGCATTTAATGATGAGTTGTTGTTACTTGGAAAGGCGATTTTAGCTTTATCTATCTCTTGCTGCTTTAATTGATGTGCTCTGTAGACCCTTCCGTCTACACAATATCCAGCAGGGTTTTTACATATGCATTTGTCACATTTACAAAGATAAGGGAACATTGGATAAAAAGCGATGATTGAGAAAGTAGTATATGAGAAATAAGATACAGTAAAACTGAATTATATTCTTAGTAACCAAAAGCAGCCCGTATTTATACATTTCAAGTCTTTTGTGAGATTGTAGCTGTTCTTGAGTAAGGCGAATTAGCTATGGGATACGTGAGTTTCACTACAGGATCATTTAAATCAAGGAATGTACTTGTTCCGATAATGCAAGGGTCGCGTTATGTTTGAATTTAAAATTTTTATTCGATTTTCTCTGTATTATTGCATTTTTCTTCTTTCTTTTCCAATTATAACTTACAGAGGTATTATTCTACATTTGCTAACCTTAACTGCTTCATTACAATTCTTTCTAGTTAATGTAAATCGTGTTAGCTTAACATTGTCTTCAGGTAAAATCATTTATATTCAGAAAATAACCAAGTTATACTACTTCTAAAAATAGATTCATTCTATTAGTCTTTAATGATTGAAATGAATATGGTTGTCTTATTAATCCATTGACGGGTATATTTACACGTTTGTCTAGCATTATTCTAATATTTACTTAGCTATATAGTAAAGACTTATAGCAATTATCATTGTTTGAGGTATGTAAAGTACGTTGACGTACCCTTTCCCGTCATTAAACTCTTAATTAGCAGTATTAATGTTATTATAGTTGACTTGCTACTTTTCTCAAACTACGGAGCATTGTTTACGGTTGTATATAATAGAATGTAAGTAACGGGAGTTTATTGAAGTATGTACACATGTTAATAGACCAATCCGTGGCTAACAGTTCTTTATTATTACTATTGTTATTATTCTAGACTGCTGCTGTTACTCTTATTACCATGACAAAGTAAGTCACTGAAATTTATATTGCTTTTTATTTATCGTCATACCTGTACTTTTTCGTTTATATACTACTTTTCTTCGTGACTGTAGCATATGAATAGTAATGTTAAAGCTATATCTTTTATCATTATAGTATTATGCAATAATAAAAACAAACCATTATAATAAAACCATGCTTATTTTACTCGTCAAATTGACGTACGTATGAACTATGAACAGCAAGATTTGAAGTCTAAATACGTTCTAATTCCACCAATGTCGTTGTAATCCGTTTAGCCAATCATACTAAGAGATCGACTTACATTGCATTATGAAACTATGCCTCTATAAAAGCTATTTTATTCCCAGCTTAGCTTTTTTGTAATTGCAAAAGATGCTAATTTTTCTACAAAAAGTTAATTTTGTAATTACAGAACTTAGTTTTTCGTGCTGTGTAAGGAGCCGATTTAATTATGTCCAATAATAGTTGGGCATTTCGTGTTATATGTTAATAACATGTATTGTTGTCAGTGTCTTTGTATTATTCATTCTTAGAGTATAGATTTATAGTAATCTCATACGACAAGATCAAGTATTTATAGGGTAAATACGATATCATATATGGAAGAGCTCCTAACCGAGTAACGATTACTACAAATATTTATTGATAATGTTGTGATGGCACAACACAGTGGACATTCCATTTTTTACATGCTGTGCATTTAGATCTAGTTACTAATTTAAAGTACTGATTTCACCAAGACCTAAAGAAAAGGTTAAGCAATAATATATCACGAAAGGACACGTAAGCTATTTATCTCTTTATTTACAGTGATACAAGCAATTTTTTGAAAAACACTGGAACGGTATTTTAACCCACTGTATAACCAATATCTCAGTTACAATCGAAAAGAAATTGAGATCGATTCTGTGTATACACTCAATGCATCATCTAATGTTCAATTGAACTCGTTATTTTTATTGTACTAAAGCATCTTACAGACACCTTATAAAACTTAGCTTTATATAGAACTATTAGGTATCAAGCTGTGCCAAAATAGTAAGAGAATACATGTACAATGGTAGTATGATATTATCATTTTGGTTAGAAAGGGCCTCGATTAATCCTACAAAAATATGAGACAACCACACTGTATTCTTTTTTTTTTTTTTTCCGTCTTACCTGTCAGCAAAATAACCAGTGTGTATTTCATACATGAGCGTGGAGTACATATACTAGCTATTGTACTTGCACTTTCCGCTTTGAAAAAGGCCGTCATAAAAATAGTCCACAATGCACCGCCCATCACGGTGATTATAAACGCAATTGTTCCTTCAATTGTCTTTTTAGTGTCTAACCAGTAATTGCGACCCATTTTTTTGCCAACTAATGACGCCTACACTCCCAAAAAAAAAAAAGCTATGAATAGGTTGCATTTATAAACTATCCTTTTTTTTTCTTACTGCTGAATCACCAAAGCCAAGCGCCAGTATCCCCGATAAAGAAGCCAAGATGTTGGAACTACCGTTGATTATTGATAAGAAAGAAGAGGCGTTCCAGAGACAATAAATACATACCTTCCTACCCAAACAGGGGAAGCACATCCTAAAAGTAAATATATATGGCTTAGAATCACAGGGCCAAGATCTCGGTTGTCAATAAACTCGGTGAGGAACACATGTATATTTTTTCCCCACGGCCACACTGCAAAGTATCGTAGATATTCCAAAAAGATGAATAATGCAATTGCAACGCCAAACGCCAATTGAAGAAATTCAGGCTAAGTTACAATGGCTGATTAGGATGTTTGCATATTTCCACCATCTTACCTCAAATATGACACCAGGCACAAACAAAAGAACGGCCAAAACATGAAACAGTTTTCTTTTCTTATTCAATGAGCTAGTCAATATCTTCTTTTCAGTACTGTAACCATTTTGTTGTTCCAACATCGATGTAAAATCAAGCATAATAGCCCAAATTGTCACTGTAGTGATAACCATCAGTAACCAATACAAGCACAAAAAGACACGCGATGGTGACATGTACAAAAAGTCTAGAGTCCTATAGTCATTTCAATATTACTCTCTTTCCTTGTTCAACTTGCACACTTACCACATCAATGGATTTTCACCAATAATCAATTTACAAAAGGGCGCAATCATAAATGTGACGATAAATACCGTCAACACATAAAATCCTATGGCTGCCATCAGTTTTTTGTTTCTAAAGGCTGATAGTGACCTGTCTACGGTCCGCCAATAGGGTTGTTGTGCTATCGTACGTGATGTACGAAGTAATGGATAGGTCATGACTCCAATAATGATAATTCCAACAATCACAGCATGAATAAGTACGGAAATAGGTGACGTGCTGCTCTCGTCTTCGTTCAAATATCTCGGCTTACTTTCTGGAAAAAACTAAATTCTGTTAATGATTCAAGTATAGTATCACTCCATCATATAACTTACGATATTGTAAACAAATTCAAGTGTACCATAGAATAAGATGGCTGTTGATTGTGATACGATCGTCATTTCTCCCAAAGTAAAACACCTTTTCAAAGTGACAACGCAAATGTACAAAAACCATTGAAAGAGAGTAACAGTGAGAATGGTCATCATAATAGATAGTTGTGATAGCACGTCTGTTAATGGGAGTATTCGAGTCACCAAAGCCGTGAATAGAGCAGATACTACGATACTTGATACAAATAATCCTCTTTTACGAATCAACTTCTTTAACGGATGTAAATATTCATTCACAAAAACCAAAATAAGGGTGATTGCACTCATGAGTAACAGCAACTCAAGTCTAGCTTGAACATACACTATTCATTCATCAATACAAGTATTTTCTTTCTTCTTTCTTCTTTTACCTATATATCCTTGATCCGCATTCTTATTCATCAAGTCCATCAATTTGGATGCTGCCACCATTGGCAATAGGAGTATACCACAGACTAGCCCATCGTCCGCATTATCTCTATAGCTATATGAATACATTGCCTCTTTTATTTCTTGCTCCTGCTTACCTAAACGAACTATTGCTCGCACCAAATATTCTATACTTTGATAATGTAGAATTAATTGGCTTTTTGTCATTATCGTATATATCATTATGCTCATCAGCGGATGATTGATCACTTGTATCATTGGCTGTTTCTTTTGTGGAATTGACAAGATAGATACCCATCCAAAGAATAATACCCCATTCGATATAGTTCAATTCACATTTGTACAATTTGTAAAACACCCAAACAAAAGAAACTGCCCATAAGAGGTGCTCTAGTTTGGCTGTCATGGATACTGGGTTCTTTTTGTCCATGTTGTTGGATGTTTTTATTGACGTTTCGTCTGCTATCTTGTTGTTGATACGCTTTCTCCGTAAAACTTCAAAGGCTTGATCTTCTTCAATAGACGATGACGATGCAAATCCTTCATCAGCATCCTGTTGAGAGCTCTTGACCTGGCTGTGGTTTTTGTTGATTCGAATATTGATTAAGCCGGGCAATTTTGTGAAAAGAGAGAGAATGAAAAGAAAAAACAAACTGCAACCATAGTAACAAGAACAAGTACATTTTTAATTTCAGCCTTGTAAAAATCACATGATAAAATATGCTTGAATAAATTAAGAGTGAGGCTGTTGTATTTCATGCTGTTTCTTTGTACAACTCCATTTATTTTTGTTTTTGGGTCTATTATCGTCATCTTTCGATACGCTATTCAGTCAAAAGTTAAAGGGCGATATTCCGGGGAACACACGGCAACGAGAGAATAGTCAAAAAGAGCGTATAAAGCAATCAAACCAAAAGCCATGTCTGATTTCAAAAAAAGGACTAGAGAAACAGTAAAGGTTCTAAGCTCTAATTTCTCTCATTTAAAAGTATAGACAAAGAAGAATGTGTCAGAGATTAGTATCTTGTCATTTGATATGCAAGAAATGAGGGTTTATTCTATAATTAAAACTCTTCTGTGAGTGACTCTATTAAATAATGCTCTTGAAGTGGTCGGATGATGTTTAATAAACTCTCTCCTGACATGATGTTCTCTAATTCATATAATGTCAAATTGATTCTATGATCCGTTACACGATTCTATATTAAGAGAATAAGCAAGAAGGGGAGTAAATGCTTATAAATGGACTTGCCTGCGGATAATTATATGTTCTAATCTTTTCTGATCTATCGCCTGTACCAATCTGTTTATTCCTAGATTCTCTTCTATTCTGCTCTGTCTTTATACGCTCTTGTTCATATATCTTTGCTCTGAGCACTTTCAACGCCTTTTGCTTATTCTTATGTTGAGATCGTTCATCCTGCATGGAAACGACTAAACCTGTTGGAATATGGGTAATTCTGACTGCACTGTCTGTAGTATTGACATGTTGACCACCTGCACCCGAGGCTCTATAGACATCGATCTTGAGATCTGAATCACGGATTTGTACTTGAACCTATAGTGATATAAATAAATAGATATTGATAAAGTCAACCTTTTCCTTACTTCTGTTGGTTGAGGCATAATGGCTACTGTCACCGTCGAAGTGTGGATTCGACCTTGAGATTCTGTAGCAGGCACACGTTGCACTCTAAGTTATTAAACATAAACATATGTTTCTTTCTATTTCTTTGTATATATACCTGTGTACTCCTGATTCATATTTCAACAATCCAAATACGTTCTTGCCCCCAACATTGACTGTAATATCCTAGAAAGCCATCAATATATAGTTCATTTACAACAAATGAATAATTTACCTTGAACCCTTTACTGCCTGTTTCTTCAGAACAAGCCAATACTTCCCATTTCCATCGTTGTAGTTGAGCAAATCGTTCGTACATACGTGCCATATCTGCCGAAAAGATCGACGCCTCATCACCACCTGCTCCTGCTCGAATTTCCAATATGGCACTTGTCTCGTCTGCAGCATCCTTGGGTGCTAATTGAATAATGATGTCTTTTTCGAGTGCCTTAATCTGATCTGTCATTTCTTCATACTCTTCTTTGGCCAATTCTTGCATCTCTTCATCACCTGTTGATAAAATAGTACCGAGTTCTTGTAGATCTTTTATTGTTTTTTGCCATCGATCAAACAATTCTTTTGTCTCGGTCAGCGACGCAAGTTCTTTTGATGCATTTGCAAGCTCTACAGAGTCAATCTCGTTACTGTTGTTTAACTGAGAAATGATGGTATCATGTCTTTGGGATAGTCGTAATAGTTTGTTTTCAAGTGTTGGCGTGATCCTAGAACTCGGTGCAACTAGTAAGTATATATGTATATATTAGCTTCTTTTCTGTTTTCATAGTAATCTATTACAGCAACCTTTTGTTGAATATCGAGCTACAAATTGAAAAGACTTTCTAAACATAAAAGAAAAAGAGAAAAGAGAGGGGTGATATCAAAGTCACACAGTAATTTTAATGCTCTTTTTTCTGTCTTTCTTTCTTTTCTCTTTTTGCAAATAAACAATGAATTCAACTACAGTTTTTGCTAATGCAACATTTGAAGAAATTCTAGACGATCTTTCAAGGTAAATAAATCTATACTTTAGCTTATATCTGATTCTTCCTCTTTTTTGTATAGCCGTTTTATCATCAACGTACCAGAAGCGGAGCTTGCTTCAGTGGAACGTATCTGTTTCCAAGTAGAACAAGCCCACTGGTTCTATGAAGACTTTATACGCGAAATTAAGCCAGATTTACCTTCATTTCAACTAAAGACGTTTTCTGCAAGAAATATCCTTTTTAATATATACACATAGAAAAAAAAACCTTTGTAGCTTTTTATCCTTAACTCTCTAATTACTTTTCAAGCACTGTCCTCTACTTCATCAATGGGCTCACGAACACGAACGTGCCTATGCAGACTTTATGCAATACCGATTTCGTATTCCTGTTTGTGGAGCCATTATTCTCAATACGAATCTAGACAAGTGTGTTCTCGTGAAAGGATGGAGTTCAAAATCAGGCTGGGGATTTCCAAAGGGAAAAATCAACCAAGATGAAGATTATGACTGTTGTGCAATTCGAGAGGTTTGTATCCTATTTTTATATTATTTACTCCCTTCTAATGTACGCATCAGGTGCTCGAAGAGACTGGATTCGATATTGGTCCCTTGTTGAAAAAGTCAGATTATATTGAACTGACAATGAGAGAACAGAGAATCAGGTTATATATCATTCAAGGTGTACCCGAAGATACCCAGTTTACTCCACGTACAAGAAAGGAGATTAGTGTAAGATTGTCCCCCCCCCCCTATTGAATATACACTTAGGCTCATGCACAATTAGCAAATATCTTGGATCAAATTAGACGATTTGCCTACTTATAAAGCAGAGCCTCGTCACGGAAATGGGGCATCCAACTATGTGAAAGCAGGCCCATATAGATTTTATATGGTTGTACCTTTTGTCAGGTATATATTTATATAAAGATTATCTCGAATGGTTTATCAACGTGTTTATGTAGTAAATTAAAGCATTTTGTAAATCAGCGTAAAAAGACACTTCGCAAAGCAAACGACAAGAACAAAGCAGCTTCTCCACGAAAATCAATCCAGCCCTCCAATCTATCATCACCGAAATCAAATGACTCATCAGATGCACTGAAGTCGCTTCTCGGCGTAGATGGCATAAAGTTCCCTACGGCATCGCCTGCAGTCTCACAGCCTCATCCTAGCCATCCACCTCCATTGACAGGCACCAATTTGCTACAGGAAATATTTTCGTCTCATGAGTCAACAACAGAAGAACAAACAAACGAGATGGGGGCACACAGAGCTTCGATTGTTGAACAATTATTGAAAGGAAATTTACCGATTCAACAACAACAACAACCCACTCCATCCACGAGCGAGACGGTGCGTAGAAACTCACTGTTGAATGTATTACAGGGTAGTAGAAACACGGAATCCGTCAAGTTGGATCCGATACAGGCGCTCTTTCAAGGAAATGTCCAAAAAGTTTCTGACACAACTTCAATGTATTCACATAACAATTAAATGATAATAATAAATCTACAAGTCTTTAGCTGGAGAACCATTGTTCCCACTTTGCCTTGGCTGCTTCTTTAAATCTGACCATGATACTGTCTACATCATCAAGAGCAGGTCGAATGTCAAGGTGAAAGACAGGTACACCAGGTACATCTTCAGGCGCTTCGTAATAATCAATCACATACCTTCTTGTCTGTCCGCAGCGACTGACATACCAGTCATGTCTATCAAATGGTTTTGGTGCACTATATTCATGCATGTCAGCATTACATATTTGTATTCTTGATATAAACAAACCCCAAAAGTGAGTGCCATCTAGCCTTGGGCGTCAGTTCTTTAGGTCGACCCTGGAATTTTGACAAGTATGGATCCTCTGTACAATCACTAAAAAAGAAATTAGCCTTTTTTTTTTTTCTATTTTCATCCAAAGAGAGACATACCATTTGTATTTCTTTTCCCACTTTAAAACCTCTTGCCATGCTTCCTCATTTAAAAAGTTATGAATATCCACCATTGTCTCAATCTCATCCTCAGGGGTCTCCCAGCCCTTTCGACGAAGAGCGTTATAAAACTGTTGAGGACTGGGGTACTCCCACTTGGCCTCACTGTCTTTAGATTTCGGAATGGATGAAATCACTCGTTCGGTAGGGAGATCGATCGTTTGATCAGGTTGTTTGGTCTGTGTGAGCTGAGGCATCATGTTGTCTTGATTTACTTGAGCAGAATTATGCATGGGACAGCCAGAGGGTATTTGTGAGGGCTGAGGCATTGGTTTCTGTGGCTTTTCCTTTTGGTGATTGACTGGGCAGCCGCTTTCTGGCTTCTTTTGTTCTTGATGCATGGGACAACCTTCGGGTACTGACATGTTTAAGATAAAAATAAAAAATAAAAAAAAAAACAAATAAAAAGCCACATTGACACCCAGCTGTCCTGCATTTTAAATAACGCTCTTAACCTGTTTACTGTAAAAAACGAATAGAAACAAGCAAGTGTTAGCAATGACAAAAGAGACGATATGAGGAACCATAGAACTTAAATGGAGTTTGAAGGCAGAGCCATAGTGGTGTTCTATACGCATTTAAAAGAATAATTACAAGGCACATATGCAGGTGTCCTTTAAATAAAGCTATTCACTACAAGACAGTCTTTGACTATTCAGTGCATCTATTTATGAAGTACAGCTGGCTTGATAAACGTTTTTTCTTTTTTATTCTCAATTCTATCAGAGACACATATCACAAGCAGCCAATGACCCTCAAATGTTAACAAATGACTCAAAAAAATCCTGAGCAAATTTCCTTTTTGAAAAAGTATTTTTTAGTCTGTCATCCTAAATGTAAAAAATACCTTAAAAACTATCGTAATAATACAATTGTTCCAACGCCAAAGGGCGGCTCATTTTCTCAAAGTTCGTATTGACGATTAAGAATGATTTATTTGATAATAATTTTTAATGGCCGATGAATACATAGCATTTTCATGCTGTACTGCCCGGGTCATATCGCAGTGAGAAGAAATGAAAAAACCTTTTGGGATTAAAGGGAAAATGTAAAAGTGTTACGTATTAGGGATGGTAATTAACTATCTGAAAATTTTTGCTGAATGTAACGAAGACATTTGACAAAGGGTTTACCAAGGTGGTTTGAAGCTTCAGGGAACTAGGAGTGAGCTAAGTAGTCCATTTCGAGTAATATTGCACATATGGAAGGCCAACGAATGAGCCAAGCATCGACTGATTTTCTTGCTTTCTTGGTAAGCAGTGTTAGTGATAAGAGGTTCAAAAGCTAGGAAAGTGAATCGTCAATAGATTTGGACATCTGAAGGCGGTTGTGCATATCTAAACAAGAAAAACTACGCTGACGTGAAAAAAGTTCATTTGGATGAAAGGGACAGGCGTGGAGTTTACCAAGAGGTAACCAGCCAAGTCGCCATCGCACGCAGCGAGGCCGTTCACTTCTTGTCATTGGTATCCGAAGAATAGGGCCGACAATTAGATCATTATGGCAGTGGGACAGACGTTTAGAATGTTTTTCTTGAAGCTTCGAACGGTGGTTGTCAATCAAAAGCTGTCTTCGTTTTCTAATAAAGTTACTATAAGACATAATTTCGAGATATTCATTGCTGAATGATGTCCATAGAGATGATTTGGATAGTTGGGGCCATTTCGAGATACGCTGTGATTGTATGTATGGTAGCAATTTTGTTAATAATGCATCGTCGGGTAGGAAGGAGGTTCTGAAAAGAAATTGTGCCTGAAGTATGGAAATACGATCCTTCATGTTTGGTAAATTTGTTAAGTGTAACATTGCCTTGGTAGAGGTGAAGGGTCGTCTGCCGAAGATTTGACAAATGCATTGGTTTTGGCAATTTTCGAGAGATTGAATTTCTCGTGAATTGAAGAATCACTTCGACCGAAACATCTTCAAACATATTGTATAAGAGGGCTAGCAAAGACGTTGGTATGCTTGGAGAGTTCATTCCATATGATGTTACGATCAACCGTATCATAGGCTGACTTAATGTCGAGAAAGGCCAGCGCTGGACTGTAGTGTAAATATTTGCGGTGATATAACTGACATAGTTCTGTTAAACAGAGCACTTGGTCAAGTGGCCCCCTAGACTCACGGAAGCCTCCTTGGGCGACATCTAGTGTAGGACCGGTGTTAAGTAGCTCAGGTTGTATACATTTTTCTAGAATTTTACGAAAAACTGAGGTCAAGCTAATTGGTCGGTAATTACTTGGATCAGATGGATCACCTTTTTTATGGAGTGGAACTATCTGACTAATACGCCATAATTGAGGAGTATATGATCATTGCCAGCATAACTGGAATAGATAAAGGAGAATTGGAGATATGATATATAAAAGTGGTAGAATCATTTCGCTTGTGATGTGGTCAATGCCAGGTGCCTTTTTTCGTGGGAGGTCTAAGATTACTGATTTAATTTCATCCAAGTTAAACGGAAAATTCACATTGGTTGTCGTACCTAAACGAATCCCAGTTGACTCTACTTCGGCCTCCAATGTGATATGCTCTCTGAGCCACGCTTTATTTTCCTTATATGATAATTATAATAAAAATTCCCTTTCTTCCCTATATCTTTCTAAGCCGCACATTCGTGGATAAACTATGACTAATCCGATTAACAATAATGAACAAAGGACATACACCGAAGACGAAGTTATCGAATTACTTAGACGAGTCAAAACTGCCGAGCAAGCAGAGATTCAAAAAGCCAGAGAAGAACGACAACTACCAGTGGGGATCACTTCCTCTTTGGACAACCTTACGAAACAACAACACCAAGATAATTTCAAACGCTACAAACGAGAAATTACTAAATACCACCACGACGAGTGGACTGTGGCCGAAGAGATCAACAAATCCTTCATACCAAAACTGAAACAATACACTGTTGACACAACTCAAGTCGTTAACGCTCACTACAAAGGAGCGGAGAACAGCAGGTTACACGGAAGAGCAGCAACCGAAATTTATGAACAGCTCTCCATCATCCAAGCAGGAGAAATCTCAGCAGAAGAAGCTCATCAACTTTTGAACGAAGCCATTGAAAGCGCCAAAAGACTTGCAGTTCACGCCTGGATCCAAGGTGTACAGCATGATGAAGATGCTAAAGACTACGCCATTAGAGCACTTAAATCACCCCCAAGTCTTAAACACTTGGAAACAAAAGAATCAGGCAACAAACGAGAAGCATTTAGTGAAGATTTTATCACCATGTACTACGAAGCCAACTACCAGCAACGAGTACTTAGAGCAGCCACCACCAACATGTCAAACGGAAGAGGTCGAGGAGGATATTCAACTTCCTCACATTGGAACAACAATAGGGGAGGACGTGGATACTTTGGACGTGGTGGAGCAAAAAACTACTTTGGAAGGCGGGGACGTGGGAACCCAACCTTCCACCACAACAACAACTTTTCTAACAATTCTCACAGTACAACACCAACAGACCTTTCAACACCAAGAAATTCCAGCCACCAGTAACACCAAACTCATTCCAGGTAACACAGGATCATATATCGTCTCCAGCACCACAATCAACACCACTACTCCAACAACAAATAACGACACCAACGTCGAACTATACTATTCCATCAGACGGAATTCGTCCGGGCGGCCGACTTCGACAGTTTTTGAATTATTGGAAGACAATAACAAATCACCCTTGGCCCATATCGGTGATTCAGCATGGTTACAAAATCCAATTTACAAAAACGCCAATCTCATGGAAGAACCAGAGACAACAAACAATAACGGAAGATCAATTTCACATCAACGAAGCAATTCAGAAATTTCTGAATGGAGGTATGATAGAGAAATCACCAACACTGGACCGACGATTCCTCTCCAAATTCTTTACATTACAGGAACAGACCAAGAGAAGACCGATTTTGGATTGTCAAAAGTTAAACTCTTTCATTCAAGTAGAACATTTCAAAATGGAAGGAGTTCCAGCGTTAAGAGAATTGATAGAAAAAGACGATTATATATGCAAAATAGACTTAAAAGATG